GTGTGTGTGTGTGTGTGTGTATGTATGTATGTATGTATGAATGAATGATGGCTTATGTAAGCCGAAAGCTTAGATATGTTTAAAAAAAACATGTATCAATATGATGATTTTCTTTCGTCTTTCAATGATAATGTTATTAAGTTTATTAGACGATATGATAGGATTTTGATTAGAATAAATAGACAAAACTTGTCTATATTATTTAATGAAACGTACATCAATATTTATGTATATATATATATATATATATATATAAATATATATATATATATATATATACACACACACACAAATATATATATATATATATATACACACACACACACACACAAATATATATATATATATATATATATATATATATATATATATATATATATATATACGATGATGAGCAAGAAAAAGTACGGAATGCATCTAGCTATTTAATATTATTGAAACAATATTCTACTTTCGCGCCAGTCTCTTCCCTTTCTATACTGGCCCTCTTATACTAGTGTCCATTCGAGCTTTCAAAACAGTCTACATATTCGTGTTTAAGATTACCATCACGTGCATCCATATCTTCCTCTTGATAACGTCTGCAGTCTAAAAGTTCCGTTTTAACGTCGATTTTATCTTTGGAAAAAGCTATGATCGCAGGAAACCAAAGTCGGGTTTGTAGCCGGACTGACACGCTTTGAGAATGTGATGCTTTATAAACAGGGACGAAAACCTGCACAATGTATGGGGGCCTGTCAAGTGTATTGTCATAATGAATGTGACGTTCACACAATGATACCTCAGGAGCGACTGAATAATCTCACGGGAGAGTCTCTGACACCGTTTTCTCTGTGTGGCTTCATAAAATTCAATTATCTGTCCTTGGCGCAGCTATAATTTATGCACTAATCAGAGGGTAAAAAAAAATGAATCATGTGACAATCTGGTTACTCCAGTCCTCCGTTGTATACTGAAACCATATCACTGGCGTAATTTACGACCAAGTTAACGCACAAGTAACACCATAATTCGCCTTGTTTTTAGTATTTGCTAATGTAATTTCTGTTGGCTACATAAAATATTACCACCTTCAAGTTCTGCAATTATGTAGATAAAGTTATCTCATAAACATTTAAAAAGGCCCGTTTCTGTTTTCACTGATAAACTATATCGAAGATATTGTAATGTTATAATGGGATGCTAAAATAATCTTTATTCTTCTATAGCAATTCCAATATCTCATCTGATAGCCTACTTAATTTTATCAGCCAGTCAGTTCTCGAAATATTAAAAAAGGCTCGATACACTCTGACAGAATAAACCTAATACACACACACACACACACACACACACACATATATATATATATATATATATATATATATAAAGTGATTTGTACACACAGAAATGAAACATAGATTTAAACAAAACGGAAATTATGCTATACTTTAGGTACCTTTCGACCAACCCTTTTTCAAAGTTATACGTTGGCAAATTGGAAAACAATCAAAGACACACTGAATATAATAAATGAAGAGGGCAAGTTGGAACGCGATTAAAAAAGAGTTAAATTTTAATTAGAAACAATTAAAATACAAAAGGGGATGAAAATAGCAAGTTCCACAAGAGTATAAAAAGGAAAAAAAGACACTCACAGTTCCTCCAAGAAGCGTATGGAACGTACAAAATGCTACTTCTGTCTGCACAGGCTGGGCTGATGAAATTTTATAAATAAAGCCTCCAGGACTCGGGGATGGTATACCGAGCGAGCACTGTGTAATATTGAGAACCAAGTGTCTTCATAATCGGTGGCACACTCATGGCTGTCGATTAAATACTGTCCTATGGCTGAATCATCGACTGCCTGCGTAGTTCTCCTTTTAGATTGATGCAAACTACCAGAACGCAGATATGCGGGAACATGCTGCGCAAACCGCGTCTCCAACCTCAGATTGGTTCGTCCTATGTACAACGCATCACATCGACATTTAAACTTGTAAACAACTATTTTTTTTCTGAAAATAGGACAACTTATCTTTACTAAAGGACGGAAACACTGATCTTGTTTGAAAAACTGTGCGCAACTTAACAGCATTGTAACAATACTAAATACACGCTGAAATTTTGTCATATAATTTATGACATTTCCTGCCAAGCTAAGGGAACTTTAAATAAATAGGGAAACGGCTGGGTCCAAACGCCACTGCTTCCTTGAAACGCTTGGTTTTGCTCTCAATAACACTTCGGATAACGTTGATGGGATATCCATTATTTTCAAAAATATTCCAAATTGTAATGAGTTCTCCGTCTTACAGTTCGGGGGAACAGATCATCATAGCGCGATGAACCAGGGACACAATCAGACCAATCTTACGGGACTTGGAAACAAACGAATTCGAACTCGTATATAAGCCGGTAAATGTGGGTTTACGAAAAACACTTGTAAGGAAAACCCCCGTCCTTGCGTTTAACAAGGACCTCCAAAAAGGATAGTGGCCTATCCTTCTCGGCCTCCATCGTAAACTTAAGCGATGGATGTAGAGAATAAAGTTGCGCCAGGAAATTTGTAGCATCACTTGCGGAATCAAAGATTGAAAAAATATCATCAACGTATCTCGTATAAACACAAAGTTTTCGGAGCTTATCAAACAATAGTCGCTCATAATAGCCCACGAAAATAGTGGCTAACACAGGACTCAAAGGGCTGCCCATATCAACCCCATCTGTCTGGACATACATCATTTCATTGAAGTTTAACTCCACACCTTCTACATTCCAAAAATAGGTCTTCAGGAATACTGGCCGGGCGCAAATTACCCCTATAAATTACCTCTATAAAGCATATCTGCACATATACCGATAGTCTCATGCAGTGGGGCGTTACTGAATAAACTGACAATGTCAAAAACACCATCAGTTTATATTTCTGAACCTCTAATGAAGCTAGAAAAAAGGAAAATGTCTGAAATATTATAACCCGAAAAAATATCCGAGACGGGCTGGAGCAACTCAGCCAACCATTTGGCTAACTCATGTTGCACAGATCCCCCCAGAGACAAGATAGGTCTAATTTGGACTCCATCTTTATGTACTTTGGGAAGTCCATCTATTCGTGGTCGTTGCAAACCTATAGGTCTACCCTAGTTGTAAACGTCCTTCGAGATAACGTTATACATATAACTCTAAAAGCTTATTTTTAGTAGATACTCATATTTGAGACGACGCCTCAGTTTATTTATTAAACAGTATATTTATTTAATAAAGAACCTGAATATGGAAACATCAATATCGCCAAATTTGCCTCCTGGCATCGTTTGCAAACTTTATCCACCTTCCTCAAAATGCACCATATAATATTTTCCACTTTCATTTTCTAAACGTATTTTGAGAGAGCAGTTTTATGTTATTACAATATCTTCTCAACCTGAATGATGTTACATGGATAGTCTACTTCATTTTGAACGTTCCCTCCCTCGAACCAATGTAATCCCCCACCCCACACATATATATATATATATATATATATATATATATATATATATATAATAAAAACAGACAACTTTAAGGTTCCATGTATTAAATTATTTCACCATATATTTATGAACCCCCAAAATAACACTTTCAAAGTAAAGTAAAATAACAGCGTCTGTTTCTAACCTTCTTTTACAAAGAAAATTAGTGACATCGTCTCTCTTAACTTCCTTCCCTCTTTTTCTTTCTATGGGTTTTTTTCTTCTCTACCCCTTCGATATCAATATATAACTTCTGTTAAGTTAACCGTTTAAATGTGTCAATATCTGCTAACTCACTCATGTCTTCTCTCCCCCCCTCACTTCCTCACTTCGTTAATTTACATATATGTTTAATACGGATCGTCAAAATGTAAATTTTCTTTTCATTTTTTTGAAGTAAGTTCGATGATCCACAGTCCTTTTAAAAGGACTGTGGTGAAATAATTTATTACATTGAACCTTAAAGTGGTCTGTTTTTATTTAAATTATTTTCTCTGAATTTACATTGAGTTCTCTGGATTTTATCCTCCTTAGGTTTACCCATACGGATTAAATAGTATTTTCATTAACTATATATATATATATATATATATATATATTCGTTCATAATAGCCCCAGAAAATATTGGCTGAAACAAAGGGCTTCCCATAGCAACCCCATCTGTCTGGACATATATCATCTCATTGCAGCTCAACTCCACACCCTCTGTAGCCAGACGGATACATTCCAAAACAGATCCTCACGAATACTGGCCGGGCCCAAATTACCACTATAAAGCATATCAGCACATATGCCGATGGTCTCATGCAGTGAGACGTTAGTAAACAAACTGACAATGTCAAAAGACTCCATCAGTTTATCATCAGACTGAATTTCTCAACTTCTAATGAAGCTAGAAAAAAGGAAGGAGTCTGAAATATTAAGACCCGAAAAAAGAATGTTTATAAAGTGCTTCAAATGTCAATCAAAACATGTGTAAAACACAATGTATTATAATTCAAAGCCTGGCAGAAACTAAGCGCTTAATATTCAAGAACTTTATTTTTGGAAAATGAATATTTTTTATATAGTGATTAGATTGTTATATTATAAGAGTCTGCTGTACATCTTCAAAGACATGAGTTGATCGATTGTCTGATTTTTCAACCACCTGATAAACATTCGTGAACGTTCTTAAATTTAAAAGTTTTAAAAAATCAATGACATCCTTGCTTTGGTATATAAACACGGGAAGAACAGGCAGACATTCGGCAAGATAAATCATATTCAGACCACATCACCACAATGCGAATCGTCCCTGGAATAGCAGACACCCGTGTACTCAGTCTTCGTTGATTTTCAGAAAGCTTTTGATAGTGTCGACAGAGACGTCGTCTGGAAACTGATGCAGCACTACTGCTTTTTACCAAAGCTCGTCACCCTCATCTAACAACTGTATGATGACGCCGTCAGTCAAGTCATTCTTGACAGGAAGCTGACGGAAATGTACTCTGTGCAAACATGCATTCATGAGGGATGCCTGCTGTCGCCCCCGATCTTCCTGTTGGTGGTCGACTGGATAATGCGGTAGGTTACGACAGGCAAGAGAACTGGTTTACAGTGGACCTTCATGAAGCAGCTGGAAAATCTTGATTTCGCAGACGACATCAGCCTTCTCTCCCACAAACAACAAGACGCGCAGGAGAAGCTGACTCGTGTTGCAAAAGAAGCGAAGAAGACTGGCCTCTAAATTAGCATCGGAGAGGCGGGGGCCATGAGGGTAAACAACTGACAACAAGAGTAGTCGCATTGTTCTTGTTGAAGACAGAAAGGAAGTCGATTAGTTTAATTAGGAAGCGTCGTCAGTAAAGAGGTGGGGTGGATGAAGACATCAAGTGCCGAATCAAGAAAGCCCGACACGCTTTCAACACTGAGGCTAATCTAGAGATCAACAGCCCTCTCACTTTACGACAAGATCCCGATCTTCAACACCAACGTCAATTCCGTCCTACTTTATGGCTCAGAAACCTGTAGGGTAACCAAAACTAACACCCACAAATTAAGAAATTTACAAACCGATGTCTCAAGGAGATTCTCAATATCAAGTGTCCGGAAATCGTCTCCAAGGACCAACTGTGGGACATGACCAGACACGCCCCAATCTAGATTGACATCAAGAAACGGAAATGGGGGATGGGTCGGCCAGACACTTTTCAAGCATGCTTCTAGTGTCACCAGACAGGCCCTTGACTGGAATTCTCAAGGGAAGCGAAAAGTCGGTTGACCAGAACAGACTCGGTGCCGAGGTTTTTAATTAACACCTTCTGGCAGGAATACGAACCTATGATGGGGGGGGGGGGGCAGATGGAGACATCAAGTACCGAATTAACAAAAACCCGACACGCTTTCACCATTACGGTCAATCTGGAGATCAACAGCCCTCCTCACTTTACAACAAGATCCGGATCTTCAGCACCAACGTCAAGTCGGTCCCACTTTACAGCTCAGAAACTTGGCGGGTAGCCAAGACCAACACCCACAAATTTAAGACATTTACAAACCTATGTCTCAGGAACATCCTCAGTATCAGGTAGCCAAAATTAACTAAACTCTTCTCTTCAAAAGTCGAATTAGAAGCTCGACAGAAGACATACCGCCTATCGTTTCTTCCAGATGGCTCTAGTTTGGTCTCATCCGACCATAAAACATTTTGCCAGGGTGTTTCTCGCTTATTAATATAACTTTTGCTGTAGTTGTTACGTAGGCTAGTCGCTTTTTCATTCTGTCCATTTTGCCTTCAAAATGTCTTCCAAGTTCTTCAATCTCTCTCCCTTCATTATGTTTCCAAGAAATTTAACTATCCCTTTCCGGTTCAAATATTTTGCTTACATTTTCATTAAAACTTCCTCGTAATTCACATGTTCAGTCAATGGTATTCTCAACATTCTTCTGTAGAAGTACATCTCTGTTGCCTCAATCTTTCTCTTCATGTGTGAGGAAATTGTCCAGTATTCTCTGCCATGTAGGATGACTGATATGACATAACAATCTACACCCTAAAATTAAGGTCATGACCCTTGTTCTTTATCCAGTTGTTACCATCTAACGTTTTTATAATACGTTTAATTCCCATAGTAAAGCTCTAGTGTTAATCGCTTTCCACTGATGGCAGGCGAGATTAGAATTTGGTCCCATTTATCCTTGTTATATAATGTTTTCATGTTTTCCCTGTACCATGAATTCAAAATCATCTTGATGACCTTCTTCAAATGACCTGTCGTTGTCTCTTAATATGGATACTCATAAAGGCTAAATTTCTTTTATATATCACTAGTTTCAGCATCGTGAAAAACTCCACACCTGGGGAATTTCGAAGAATTAATAGCCAAAACGTCGTGTTAAAACCAACGAATACAATAGTGTGTTTTTTTTTCCTATTCAATAGGATAATAAAACACTTTGTGTTTCTGACAATAGACGAAAATATCGGTTAAAATACATTTAAAAATGGAGACAATAGATTGTAGCAAAGTGTACAGAACAATGAAAACATTTCATCTTTTAACTTCCAAAAAAAAATATCTGACGGCGTCAAAAATAATTAAACAAAAAGTCTAATGCGTATTGTCTCCAAAAGCATTGCAAAAAAAATAAATAAATCTTAAATATTTTATCAAAGTTTCCTTTCCTTTTAATGTTTTCGCTTATAATTTGCTTTCTAATTCGTGCCGTCTTTCGCTCCGACCCTACACAAAAAATCCATTTAAACCTTTCCACTAGAGTTTATTTTTCCAGTTTCTCATAAAAAGTAGCAGCAAAAAAGCAGAAAGTAATAACATCGCTATATAGTTTGTTTTTATAGAAATGATTTTTATTCATTTTTTTTTTCGTTTCTGTGTTTCATAATGAAAAACAAACGGAAATTAAAAATAAAACCCTGATGGATGTCTGAAAAGCGAGGCTGTCTATCTATCCGAAGACTCTATTAACACTAAGAACTGATTTTGCAGCTTTCAAACGTTTCTTGTCGCTGATCGAATTTGCTTGAGGACGTTAGAAAATGTCACCAATGCCTGTTTGTTTTCTATACTGTCTTCAATATTAATTTATAGTTACTTTTTCTGGTGCTGTTTATGATTTTTTTTTAAATCTTTATTTTTAATGTTTTTATTTATTTTGATGAGACAGAGAACATTTAAATTCGTTTACTCTCTATGATTTTAGGAGGTAGTAACTGTTTGTTTTTTCTTCGTTTGTTTTGTTTTACAGCATATCAACCTAAATGGGTCATTTAATGCCGACAACTTTTTTTTTCCTGGTTGTTATGGGATCTTACACATAATAATAATAATGGACTATTCCTACCTCTTTGATTTAATAAGGGAGTTACTGCTGTTATAATCCCAGCACTAAGTGAAATAAGATGTACAGCAGATTAAGAAACCAGATGTTTGACTTTGATCCCCTGACGAATGATAAGAAGCCTTTCTGTTGGACGTATGAATACGTAAGCAGATCTTGCAGTTCGTTCTTATTGCGCAGTCATATACAGCGTGTCCATAAATTCCATGTGCACTTTAAAAAATGTATAACTATATTTGTATTTGTGATAGAAATAATCTGTAAAAAAATGTTATAAAGTTTAATGTACCTAGTTTTAAGTTTGGTTATTGAATATTTCTTTACCACAAAATCAGAAATTTCCTAACAGATAGATCGGAAGGGGTGGACCATTTTATTGACCTCCACGTTCGCCAGATTTGACTCCATTAGATTTTTTATGGGGACATGTGACAACAATTGTGTATGAGCCAAACTTAGTTTATTAGAAGATTTGAAAGCTCAAATAACTAATGTGATTTCAGGCATTACTGTAAATCAGTTTTTCGTGAACTGCAAAATCGTATTACCCTTTTTTATGGAAAATGTGGAAACTCAAATGAAAATGGAAAATGTGGAAACTTAAATAAAATTTCAATAAAACACTAAGAAATATAGATTTACTTCTTTCTAATCCTTTTTACCAATTACTGCTATCGCAAATAAAAATAAAGTTATACATTTTTTAAAGTGCACACGAACTTTATGGACACCCTGTATATTTCTCCTTCAAGATGAAGATGCTTCACGATAATGATAAAACTGCAATTGTCAGGTAAGATCTGTGTGTTGGTTCGCTCCAGACATTAATGAGAAACGCCAAACCCAGCCGCGCCTAGCGCTGTACATCGCGTTTATCCTGCTTGAGGCGCTTGTAGAATTTAGCACACCGACAAGCAATATTCCAGAACTTGAAAGAAAGTCCTTCGTTACAAAACATGATACCTGATTATACAAATTCGAATGAAGGCCTCCCCTAAACAATTTCTGTACTAATCCTAATCTCCATCCAGCTCCATCTAAACTGCTAATATTCCTGCCTCAATTAGATAAAAACCTAATGGTCCCGGTAATAAAAAAAAATAGCTTTATATAGTTATCATAATAGATATAAAAGGTATATTCATTATGTACATTATTCATGGTTGCTGAAGACATTAATTTATAATACCCAGAAATTCATACACAGATGTCCTCAAAGGCGTTAGTTAGTTCAGTGATAGGACCCAAAGAGTGTGAGTTCAATACCCGGTTAAGGCAATGGAGAACTTTCAGAGGGAAATTAACAAGAGATAATTGACAAGTGACACACATTAAAAACATGGCACGTGGAACTAGAACAGTCTACCCCAGTGAGCGAAATAAAGGGTTCAGTTCAACACTCCAACCATCTGAAGAAAGCCGGAGCGTAAAACAACCGAAACGTTATAATAAATATGGCGACAAAGGTGAGGACAATAGTCCGAATAATGTAAATAGTGTGCATAATACCTCATCTCAGCAATATAGACAGATACTGAAAGGCCGAAACGTTATAATAAATAAGGCGACAAAGGTGAGGACAATAGTCCGAATAATGTAAATAGTGTACATAATACCTCATCTCAGAAATATAGACAGATACTGAAAGGCCGAAACGTTGTAATAAATATGGCAACAAAGATGAGTACAATAGTCCGAATAATGTAAATAATGTACATAATATTTCATCTTAGAAATATAGAGAGATACAAAAGGTATATTATTTAACGTTAGTGACACAACAATGTCGGTTCACTGTGCCAAACAATGGCTCTCATAAGAATTCATCTGTCACATATATAAATCTACCATTTGTATGTGAATTGAATATTGCTGTTATATTTGGTATGGTTCTCATACCCTATAACTTGATATGCATGACAAAATTAAAACAGATAAGAAAAAAGATATGTAATATTATCGGTCCTGACATGGTATCTCGACTTCAGTGACTATCTCACCACCAAGATGTGGCTTTCCTCTGTCATTTCTATAAATATATTCATAGAAGTTGCTCTACTGAGTTCTCGTCCTTGTTATCTCAAAGAATTTATCTAGTATCCTACTAGAATGGCAATTAAGGATTCATCGTTTTACTGTTGAGAAATCGAGATGAAACCGTGAGTTCTATTCCAATAGTTTATTTTCTCACACTTCTCGACTGTGGAACTCTCTTTCGATTCCTTGCTTCGCTGCCACCGAAAAACTACAAAAGTTTTAATGCAACGCCAATCGCCAACTTCTGATAGATAGATAGATAGATAGATAGATAGATAGATATAAATAGATATGAAGATAGATAGATAGATAGATATGAGATAGATAGATAGATAGATAGATAGATAGATAGATAGATAGATAGATAGATAGATAGAATAAGAATGGCATAGATAGATAGATAGGATAAGAATGGCATAGATAGATAGATAGATAGATAGATAGATAGATAGGATAAGAATGGCATAGATAGATAGATAGATAGATAGATATGAACAGATTGTGATAGATAGATTGATAGATAGTGTTGTGTTAGGATCCACCTGATTTGCATAGTGGAGTACTGATCATATAAATATGGTTGGTACCGGGAAGACCGTGGGAGGAATCAAGAGATTCAGCCCAGAGACTCTGCCCGACTACGACTAAGTCAACACATTCTCCAGGAACAATCTTCCCAAGAATATACAAAAGACTATATGTAAAAAAGCAGAAAGTAATACGCAAACAAGACAGGACATTAAAGAGGAATTAAAGAAAAAGTTTCCGGAAACCTTCACATCTGGTCTTGGAAGATGTAACAACGTTGAGTTCTGGGAGCGAGGCATAGTGGACAAGAGAATCGGTGACCAGATTTACATAATTAAAGGGCCGAAGAATACTCATAAAAGGCACCAGAATCAACTTAAAAAAAGTTACGCTACAGAGCATGAAGAAAGTATACCGGATGAGGAGGAAGATCCCATTGATGTAATGTATGATATGTTTCAAGAAGAACCTCCACAGAATGCTACTGAACCAAGAAGTTCCGGTAGGAAACGGAAGTTCACGGACCCATTGGACTGAATCCAAAACGGAAAAAATATTAAAATTATGCAAATGAATCTACAAAGAAATAGCCATAATCATCAACTCATATAGGAAGCCAGTTTGAAATCCAAAAGGGATTCCAAGGCTTCGGAGGGGGTGTTGTAGTAGGATCCACCTGATTTGCATAGTGGTGTACCGACCATATAAATATGGTTGGTACCGGGAAGACGGTGGGAGGAATCAAGAGATTCAATCCAGAGACTCTGCCCGACTGCGACTAAGTCAACATATTCTCCAGGAACAATCTTCCCAAGAATATACAAAAGACTATATGTAAATATTGTGTACCTTTCTTGTTTCAATACATTTTGTTCTAAGTACATTTTGTGTTGTATTATTATTCCATGCATTAGTCTAGTTTCAACAATGGCGACGAGGTAGTAAGAACTTTACGTTACGGAAAAAAAAAAGAATTGATAATTGATAGCCTTCAACAATTGGGACAAGTCTTTGAAGAACCCAGGCTGAAGGAAAAAATTATTAATTAAAAGTCCAACATCTAATAGAACGGCAAAGGATTCTTAAGTTTGGATATTTAAAACTCGTTAAAGGACGACTAAGCATAAAGAACGTTCACTCAGAAAAATCTGAAAGGTGGCGTAAATGAATAACGGTGAACTAAAAAAAAAAAAAAAAGAAAAAAACTGGCCGACTAGAAATACAAATATACCGTGTCGACTTTGAAAGATAAGGAACTTTAAAAAAAAAAAGTTTTATTTTTTTTTTGGTTGCTCAACAATATTTTATAAAGCAAGACATAAAATTAAAAAGTCGTAAGTTGTTTCGATTTTTTTTTTTTTTTTTTGGTCAGCTTATATTATATTCGTAGATAGACAATTTAAAAGTATATTCTTTGTTGCATGAACACTACCAGCTAAAGATGGATGAATTATCCAAAGTCATATCTGAATTATTTAAATCCCAGCAGTTAAGTCAGCAATGTCAAAGTGAACAGTTTGCCTTATTAATAAGGGAACAACAGAAAAGACAGCAGAAATATCAAGAAAAGCAAGAGGATTTGAGTCAGCAACGTCAAAGGGAACAAGAGGAAAGACTGGAAAAACAGGAAGAAATGCAGTTCAAGGTTTTAGAAATTCAAAAGTTAACACTGGAGAAATTAAACAACAATCAGGCAAATGAAGGAAACTCTTCATATTCTAATAACATCATATTTAATTCGCTGGAAACTTTCAACTATGTGCCAGACAAAGGAAAAACGTTTGAAGCGTACTTTAAACGATATGAAGATATTTTCTACACAGACTGTGAAAACTGGTCGAATTCAAGAAAAGTCAGTCTATTACTAAGAAAGCTAGGTACAGCGGAACATAGCAAATTTGTAGATTTTATTCTACCGAGAAGAACAAATGAATTGGAATTCTCGGAAACAGTGAAATTGCTAAAGGAGTTGTTTGGAGCAAATATGTCGCTTTGGCATAAGCGATGATTATGCATGAATGTCGCTAAATCCGACGATCAGGATTACTTAACATATGCATCTATAGTGAATAGACATTGTGACAATTTCAGATTGGCAGAGATTACGGGTTAATTTTTGCTCAAGGACTGGTATCCAGTAAGAGTGCCGAAATAAGACGTAGAGTTTTGTCTAAACTCGAATCTGAACAAAACCTTACCCTGCAAAAGTTAGCAGAGGAGTGTCAAGGGCCGTAAGTTTAAAGAAAGAGTCTCAAAAATTGAAGAAGCTGGCATTGCTTATATTAAAAAAAAAAAAAAAACAATCAAATTACCCATCAGCAAAAAATTGGAGTAAAAATTCGGCGTATTTTAAAAATAGACAAGAAAAAATTAAATGAAAAGAATGAGGAGAAAAAAGGTTCCACCATATAATTGTAGACGGTGCAACGAAAGACACTGGGAGGTAAATTGCCCATATAGAAATAAAAATGTTTCGTGTGCCATAAGAATGGTCACAAAGGGTCGTGTTGTAAAACGAAAAAAGTCAATAGCCGAATTAGACAAACAAATTCAAATATCAAATCAGATAGAGATTTGATGAAGTATGTGACGACTGAAATATTTAAAAAGAATATCAAGTTTCAACTCGACTCGGGTTCAGATTTAACAATAATGAACTATAAAACATGGAAAATTTTAAAAAGGCCTACAATAATGAAGTCAACGAAATGCGCTCGAACGGTAACTGGAAAGGAAATTAACTTCGAAGGCGAGGTTGTACTTCCCATGAAATTGAACTGGATAGTTAAAAAAATAAAAGTTTTCATTCTGAAAATGGAGAAAACTTGATGGGTACAGATTTTATTGAAACATTCGAATTGTGGGATAAACCGTTAAACTCATTCTGCAGAAAAGTAGAAAGTAATACGCAAACAAGACAGGACATTAAAGAGGAATTAAAGAAAAAGTTTCCGGAAACCTTCACACCTGGTCTTGGAAGATGTAACAACGTTGAGTTCTGGGAGCGAGGCATAGTGGACAAGAGAATCGGTGACCAGATTTACATAATTAAAGGGCCGAAGAATACTCATAAAAGGCACCAGAATCAACTTAAAAAATGTTACGCTACAGAGCATGAAGAAAGTATACCGGATGAGGAGGAAGATCCCATTGATGTAATGTATGATATGTTTCAAGTAGAACCTCCACAGAATGCTACTGAACCAAGAAGATCCAGTAGGAAAAGGAAGTTCACGGACCTATTGGACTGAATCCAAAACGGAAAAAATATTAAAATTATGCAAATGGATCTACAAAGAAATAGCCATAATCAACCCATATAGGAAGCCAGTTTGAAATCCAAAAGGGATTCCAAGGCTTGGGAGGGGGGTGTTGTAGTAGGATCCACCTGATTTGCATAGTGGTGTACCGACCATATAAATATGGTTGGTACCGGGAAGACGGTGGGAGGAATCAAGAGATTTCATCCAGAGACTCTGCCCGACTGCGACTAAGTCAACATATTCTCCAGGAACAATCTTCCCAAGAATATACAAAAGACTATATGTAAATATTGTGTACCTTTCTTGTTTCAATACATTTTGTTCTAAGTACATTTTGTGTTGTATTATTATTCCATGCATTAGTCAAGTTTCAACAGATATACAGATAGATATGAACATATTGTGATTGAGATAAATAGATAGATAGATAGATAGATAAATAGATAGATAGGATAAGAATGGCATAGATAGATAGATAGATAGATAGATAGATAGATAGATAGATAGATATGAACATATTGTGATTGAGATAGATAGATAGATAGATAGATAGATAGATAGATAGATAGATCTTGACTCAACTAACAAGCTTGAACAGATAGATATTGACTAAGCCAAACCGATCCTGTATGCAATCCTTTCTTAGTTTAATACGGAAAGGCTTTATCTTACTTCCAGACCATTCATATAAAATATATGTAATAATTTTACTCATCATTCTTCAATCGATTCAAGTTTATACACACCAACCTCATTTTATATCCCACTTCTTCTATTTTTTCTCACTTCTTCAACACTCAGTCTCAATCAATTATTATTAGCGATAAACTCCGCCGTTGGCTAATCTCCACTCTCTTCTTTACCAGATTATTTTAGCCCATGACCCGTAGATTCATACAATGCCATTCGACAAGTCTTTCGCCATCGGCTATTTACTATTAATGCTTCCAAAACGCGTTCTTCTTGTTGCTCGCGGGAAATATTTCAATTTCCTATCTCATATTTTGACGCATTGTCGAGGTTTCCTTCTGACCGATTTGCTAGATTACTTTTCTAAATATTTCCCTGTAAGCTCTTGTTGCTTAAAATATGTTTAGTTACAAATAAACCGTAGCAGTGATGAAACAGACAAGACAGCGACGATGAAGATGTTGATTGAAAAGAAAAAAAAGAAAGAGATAAAAACAAACGTAAGAAATAATCTGAATATGAATCAGTTTCAACACTTTTTTATATATTTTCGGAAACATCATTATTTATATTTATATATGTGAAAGCATAGATAGATAGATAGATCTGAATAAAATCAGATAGAGATATGAATAAAATCAGATAGATAGATAGATAGATAGAAATAGCCTTTCTAAAGTTATTAAGCAAATCATATAAACTTTTAATACAAATTTGGTTTGAAAAACAATTATCAAATTTTAAACAGTCTCTTTAGATGTCAAAACAAACCTGTGTTCAAATTTTAGGTGGTATCAATATGTTTTATTCATTCATTTAATGTATTCTAAAAAACTGCCGTCTGACGTTATTAGGAAAAACTGAATAATCACATTTCCTTCAATAAAAAGCTAATAAAATCATCAAAAATTGATCAACCCCCATGATAGAACTAATAACAAACGCATGCGATAAGTCTGTGAATCCTTTACGTTTTAATATAGTGACGCTTCTAATAAATAACAACCAGTAAACCTTTGATTTTGTTATTTTTTTTTTACTTCAGCATCTTCAGCTTTAGACATGGTAGTTTTACTTGCTTTTCATGGGTCTGTTTTGCTGTTACGTTGTTTTGCCACCTTCATATAATTTCATCTTCACAATTGACCAGAGGTTTTCGATGAGATTCAGGTCGGGACTTGATGGTGGCCAATACATTATCTTCACGCTTGTAAATCTTTTTTGCTCAAAGAATTCACGGGTAAGGTTAGATACATGAGAAAGTGCAGTGAGGTGTATAAATACACACTACACTTTGAAACTATGAGACTGGGACTTGTACCATGCAAATAAAATCTTGTTCATGAAATCGCAATAGAATGCACTGTTCAGTTTAACAGCTTCATCGACTTTGAATGGCCCAGTAATGGTTTGGTCGACAATTCCAACACATATCATAGCACTACCATCTCTTTGTTGCCTTCTTTTAGCTACAGGCATGTCTGAACTGGATAAAATCCATCCTTTGACCCATCTATTAGATCCATCAAATGTCACTTGAGAAAATGTTCGTGAAAATTAAGTTAATTTTAGGCCATTACTTGGCCCAGTTTTGATGCTTTAAAATATTTTTAATGAGAGGAGTTTGCCAAGGAGATTTTTACAGATCCCAATTTGCAATGTATTCTACACCTTTTGTACTTTTTGATTCACTTAACTTCAGTCTTTTTCAAAGATTAAAAGTTGTTGTTTCGCTCTAACTCGCTTTAGTTTACGTTCATCTCGAAGAAGCAAGTTCTTAAGGCATTTTTCTTTGCTTCAAGATCTCAGCTTACTGATATTTTCAAATTCCTTCTTTATCGTTCGATGATCTCTGCCAAGTTTCTTCGAAATCTTCACCGTCATTCCCTCACTCATTAACTTTATTTTTTTATTTTTCAGCAATTGTTAAAACCTTCTCTTTACTCATGTTTCAACATGTATTAAGAAAAAAATACTTTTTATTAGGTTTCAGATGTCTTAAGGAAATAGTAGTTTAACCTGCATATAGAATTCAGTCATTCCATTTTCGTAACTTCGAAATATCTCAAAAACTAACCATTAAAATGGCAGAAAATTTGAATAAATGTTTTTTTTTAAGGGAGGGAATATAGGAGTTTAAATTTGAAAAATATGGATTCATTCAGAAGTTTTTGAGTTACTGAGATTTATTTGATTTACATAATAACTTCAGACAGGCTGTACATATGAATGGAGATAGATAGATTGATAGTGGCAGAGATAAATACAAATTAAAGAAGATAGATAGAGAGTGAAAGAGAAAATCAGTTGAGAGAGAACGAGCGAGAAATAGGTATATTGATGTCAAGAGACAAACACATACAGGCATACACCCACACACCAACGCACTGTCTCTCTCCCATACACACATACACACACACACATATATATATATATATATATATATATATATATATATATATATATATATATATAGTTTATGCAAACTTAGGTAATCCGTATGGGTAGACCCGAGGAGGATGATATCCAGAGAGCTCAATGTAAAATCAGAGCAGATATGTTTGAATAAAAGACAGACCACGTTAAGATTCCATGTAATAAGTTATTTCACCATAACCCCTTTAACAGGGTTCTGGATCATCAGACTTTACTTCAAAAGCTGAAATGAAAAATGAAAAAAGAGATTCACACGTTTTTGACGGACCTCATCAAGTATACGTAAAATTAACGAAGTGAGGAAGTGAGGTGGGAGAGAGGATATGAGTGTGTCATATGTATCATTTCAATTTCCTATTTTTAACCCCAGTGTGTCGGCTAGATGTTGCTCAAATTTAACGCGTCTCGTCTCTAGATATAAGACCGACATTAAAGGAAGAAGCTACAACAACCCCAATCAATTACACGACTGGTTTCATTCAAATTCTTAGACGCTGTTAATTTGCGTTACTTTAACGTGCATATTTGTAAGGTTAAAGTTTGATAAATATCTAAATGTCTGAACAATCTACGAAGAAATTAATTTGAAATTCGGTGGAGTTTTGGGTAATTTCTATGAAATAGTCGATTGGAAAAATTCATAGACAGTACATTGAAGGAGTAATCCATTTTATATTTAGTAATCTTTTTTATTCTACTAAAACTTTTATCTTATTACTTGTTAGGTTGACATCTATTCGTTTGATTTTTGTTCATTAAGTAAACTCGTGATTGTTTTTATGTACCTAATTATCAACGGTTATTCCCATTTAAATAATTTTATCATCAATAATGGGGTAGTATATTTCAATCTAAATTAAAATACCAATTTAAACTCTACCTTCGTGCTATTTAAAATTCACTTCCAATTGGAGAATATTAGAGGAGAGTTTGGGATGAGATGTCACTAGCAGAAAATTAGGTCTTTCTTTTACAATCTTTTATCTACACATGTCTTAAACCCCTATTTATCTCCACATACCTATCTTTTCTTATATGCCTATGAGTTCCTATATACACCTGCACACACATTCACACGAAAAAACGATATGTATATTTCCATATCTACACATATACACCTGCAGAGAAACGCACATCCATATATCTCCATACATATCTCCATATACACTTATACATACATATATACATATACACATAAGGACACCTGTATATCATATATATACGCACATATACATTTACACACATATATATGTATACACATATACACATACATATACATACACACACATGCATGCATATATATACGCAATATGCAGCATATCTACATACATACATATGTGTTAATTTGCACTTACACATATCTACACACGTACATCTCCCTATCCTCATGTCCACCCGTGCATCCATTTATGCCTGCATTCGAAGACTATCACAGTATTTAATTACATTATCCATATCTTTACACATATAATATTACCCGCTCTTTCATATTTATGGCAAAACATATAAGTACCTATCTAATTGTACTCCTCCACACTCACAAAAAAAAAACACCCTGGTATGCTTCTTTTTCCATATAAAAACGTATACATGTACATATCAACAGGTGTCTCAGTGTTCAAATACATTACCATAGTTGTATACATATAGTCATGTGTTAGCGTTCATGTGTGCATAGTAATATTTCTAAAAACAAACGGAATACAAAACATTCAAAATTGCTCTTCCTATATGATTAATTCTCAATGTATTTGCTTAGGTTTAGGTTGTTTCTGTGCCGGCATTTAAAGACTAGTTCATTGTGTGTATTTAGTACTATGTCTGGATCTTTATGTTTGATTATGAAGATTTTCTCTTTTAAGCATAAGTCGCATCTGTCTCTGAAGTTTTTTGGAGTTCTGGCTCTTGATATTATTTTCCACTTTATTTGTGGGGTTAGGCCACCCTCCAACAAATCCCAATAATGTTTTGATAGTGCCGTTTGGTTCTTTTTACACTTATTTTTGAAGGACTGGCGATGGTTGTACAATCGGTGTTTCCAGTCTCCCGCCGATATTCCTATGTATATATTTTCTCTTCAACCTTTTCTTTGGGGAAAATTGTTGCTTCATATATTGTGTTCTCTGCCATGCATATTCCTTCAACTGGGCACTCTGATCCTGTCCTGCAGTTGCATGTTGATTTTTCCATTCGGGTTGTATCCTGATTTTGTCTTAGATTATCATGAAGGTTTCTATTGTGTTTTTACTATTCTTTCCATATTATCCATGCAAGAATAGCTAATCTTTAGATTCATCTTGTTGAATATTTTTTTCAGAGATGCATTTTTGCTAAAGTGTTTTTCTATCAGTTTTATGAAGTATTTACCTATATTATTATTGATGATAAAATTATTTAAATTGGAATAACCGTTGATAATTAGGTAAATAAAAACAATCACGAGTTTACTTAAGAAACAAAAATCAAAAACAATCACGAGTTTACTTAATGAACAAAAATCAAACGAATAGATGTCAACCTAACAAGTAATAAGATAAAAGTTTTAGTAGAATAAAAAAGATTACTAAATATAAAATGGATTACTCCTTCAATGTACTGTCTATGAATTTTTCCAATCGACTATTTCATAGAAATTACCCAAAACTCCACCGAATTTCAAATTAATTTCTTCGTAGATTGTTCAGACATTTAGATATTTATCAAACTTTAACCTTACAAATATGCACGTTAAAGTAACGCAAATTAACAGCGTCTAAGAATTTGAATGAAACCAGTCGTGTAATTGATTGGGGTTGTTGTAGCTTCTTCCTTTAATGTCGGTCTTATATCTAGAGACGAGACGCGTTAAATTTGAGCAACATCTAGCCGACACACTGCGGTTAAAAAATAGGAAATTGAAATGATACATATGACACACTCATATCCTCTCTCCCCACCTCACTTCCTCACTTCGTTAATTTTACGTATACTTGATGAGGTCCGTCAAAAAACGTGTGAATCTCTTTTCATTTTTCATTTCAGCTTTTGGAAGTAAAGTCTGATGATCCAGAACCCTGTTAAAGGGGTTATGGTGAAATAGCTTATTACATGAAATCTTAACGTGGTCTGTTTTTTATTCAAACATATATATATATATATATATATATATATATATATATATATATATATATATATATATATATGCATATATATATATATATATATATATATATATATATATATATATATATATATATATAAAAATCTAGTATATCCAACTCAATTAGTATGTATGTATGCATATATATATATATATATATATATATATATATATATATTAAATCTAGTATATCCAACTCAATTATTCGCAATGATTCTTCACCCACCGTTAGCGATTTGCAAAAAACTAACATAGTTTACAAATTCAGGTGCCCTTTGGGAGATTGTATCTCAAATGGATTTAATAACACCGTCGAAGGTGTGTGTCTATAGACAGAAATTCGGGCTTTCCTAACCAGATGCTTCTCTGTGGCTGAATATTAGCAGCACGACAGGCTATATTTCATATCCCCATAAGGATTACCGGTTCGATTCCTGTCGGAGGACGCATATTTTCTACGAAATTTCTCGAACATTCAGGTCGGTAGATATAATTAATAATGTTTAAATAAAAACAGTATATTTACTTAAATATATTATTTCTATAAAACAAGTATAAAAAACACATATATATATATATATATATATACACGTATATATATATATATATATATATATATATATATATATATATATATATATATATATATATAATCACCCGTAAACAACTTAAATAAAAGATCACACCATTGCGATTGGCTGTTGGTCAACTTCCAATCAAATGCGAGATAGAGGGTATGGTTTGCCTAATATAAGTCAGTGCCTGCATGCTGTTAATTTAGATGTTGGGGGGCACATCAGAGACTGATCAGCTCTGATGACGTCGATTGGTGAGGGGAGTATGATATTTGAAAGACACGAAACTGCCCAATGTCCCAATTCAGAACATCACAGACGACGCCCTCTTGCGCTAAAGAGCGTATATTCAAAGTATATATATATATATATATATCAGAGAGCCGAGTTCCAGTTCCTGTTGGCATCCCTATATTTTTTTACGCGCAAATACACTTATGGTGTAGGAAGATATTTGTTTGTGGTTATCTAATACCTGTTGCCGACACCCACTTAGGCATATTTGCGTTTCATAGTCAATTCGCTACAAATCGAAAGTGCCGCTTACTGGGATCGCCTCTATGTTTCCATGAACCTGAGTTCTTTTTGTTTCCGTTTCTTTTATTACCCTAGATCATTTTACGAAGATGGTTTTATTCCAGAAATGCATTGGTCAACAGTTTGTTCCGGAATTTCTATAAATAAAAGTTCGTGTGCACTTTAAAAAATTTATAACTTTATTTGTATTTGCGATAGAAATAATCAGTAAAAAAAATGTTATGAAGTTTAATGTACCTAGTTTTTAGTATAGCTAAAATAACTAATGTGATTTCAGGCATTACTGTAAATGAGTTGGCAAATGTTTTCCATGAACTGCAAAATCGTATTTCAATAAAACCTTTAAAAAAGATAGATTTACTTCTTTCTAATCCTTTTTACAAATTATTTCTATCGCAAATACAAATAAAGTAATATTTTTAAAGTGCACACGAACTTTATGGACACCCTGTGTGTGCGTGCGTGCGTGCGTGTGTACGTGCGCGCGCGCGCATGTGTGTGTGTGTGTGACGAACGTTGTATTTCGCGGAATTTATGGGAAAAGGAAAAATAGGCCAAAGAGATTTATAGTAACAAATGTAAATGGGAACTGAATTCTAATAAAAGAAAATATGTTCGATGACCATTTGCGATAAGAAATAATCCAGAAAATATAATTATAAGTCTCTGTTATTCACTGGT